ACACGCCTGCAACACCGGCCGAAGTAGCTACGTTGGGATTTCATGGCTAGATCTGCCCGGCAAGATGCGTCGTCTCTGCAATTTACACGTAAGCTATGGTTCCCAGTAAGTGCTCATGTGATTGTTTTCAAAAATGTTACTGCTACGCGATATCCAGTGGTTGCTAACAGTAACACATGTGACAATATGGGGTAAGAATCAAAAAAATTTACCGGGTAGAGAGAAAAAAAACAAAGAAACCGCAACCGGCTAACAATTCAACAACAATAACAACGACCGGATCATGACTGGTCAATGTCATAATAGCATTACAATCAATTTATCACAGATATTATCATGCGCAAAACATACTGATATCTTGTTTCTGTTGTGATATTTCTGATCTGTTCACCTCCACCACACATAAAAATTCCGAAAAAAGCAAACGAACTATATAAAATAATGCAAAAGAGCAACTGCTGACAGAGGTAGGACCAGCAGCAGCACAGAACAGGACTAAGTGCTCAAAACATCTTTGAAAACCACAAAAACCAACTATTTTAAGACAGTGTTTACAAAAATGAAGCTAGTGGCTACCATTGCCTTGTATCCACTGACGGCAATCAGTTACGATTCCAATTACTTCTGAATACTTACACCATCCATGAAATATGAACTTTAGGATTTCGTAGACTTTTTCAAACCTGGTACTATTTTAGATTTTTTCGAGCTTTTTTTGAATCACAATATCATCCTAAAGTTGAAAAAAAAAGATATAAGAACGATTTACTGTTGCAATACACTACAGCCCAAACAGTCTTAGCAATAATGTCTTGATTTCAAATGCACGAAAATGCAGGTTGACGAAGTTCCCAGCATCACTCCCTGACGAAGCATTATTGGTTTCAATAGGAAGAGAACAGTGAGTTCTTTCAAGGCCATCACTCAAATCTACAGAAACGATACGAGGATGCTTCAAGACAAGTTGCACATCAGTGCTACCACCAAACGATTCGAATAATCGTACAACAAGCGTAGCTTTATCATCTTCGGCAACCTTTACCGTGTCCACAACAATTCCTGGAGAAAAAAATGAATCAAACTCAGTTTTAGGAAGTTTTTTTTGTCAGAAAATTTCGAACTGCCTTGAAGTAAATGGATCAAGCATAATCGAATAAGAGCCAAAGACTGGTTATTCATCTGTGTTGTTTGTTCTAACAATAAAATTGCAATATTAACAAAGTCTGCTGGACTGGCCTTAGAAAATCCCACGTTTTCAGAAATTTGTTAATATTGGAATTTTATGGCGATATCGATTCGCTTAAAAAAGATGAGCAGGAGCGGAGATTATGATGGAGCTTTCCACGTAGCTACTGAAGACTGAGAGACATTTTACGATAAAAGATCTCGGAAATGATAAATTAGTCTTGTAAAGACTAATTTATATTACCACGCAGACAGTTCCCCTGTATTCTACATTCTCATAAGATGGAAATAAATGCAGGCAAGCACTGTCTGATGGCTGCTGCACCTCTCAAATATGAAATTTTTTATTAATATCAGAGAACCATTAAACGATTTAAAATATTTTAACTTGAGGCACTTTTATGGGCTTTGGGCTGAGTATTTTTATCAGCCCATAGGTCGGCATTCTGCACCTCTGTGGACAAACTCACGGTTCATTTGGCTGAAACTCACTCCACAAAAATAAATCTATGATACTCTTAATTTCACCCTGCAGTAACTTTAACGGCTCCAAATCAAATTTAAAAGGGATGATGTCTAAATCAGACTTCTTGTTTTCATTTCATTCCCGAATACTTTTGAACTCGTAAATCCACAAGTATGGTCAGAATTGAATTGTATGCTTTTTATTCGTTTTTGTGATTGGGCGTTACAGCGCCGCAACCGCAAAAACACAACCCGTGGTGTGTGTGTGTATGTTTGTGTATGCGTGTGTTTATGCGTCTGTCCAGATATTTCAACTCGGTAACACGTAAGCTTAGATGCTGAAATCTCGCAAGTACGCTCGCTGGTCAAGTGCGACACTAGAAAGCGATATCACTTTTTACGCACGCCTAAGTCTCACGTATGGACATGTGGAAATTCTAGCATTCGATTTTTGACTGGCAGAATCGAATCAGAATTTATGCGCAGAAGCAGGGCGAGCCACCCATACATCAATTCCACCAACAAACGATGGCAGTGTGCCTGCCAGTGTTAAAAGTAATCAAACAAAAACCTTCGCTTCCGCGAACATCCAGGAATGATGAGATCTTTTCTTCTGCATTCCATCCACTGACAAATCGCGTTGGATTATTGAACTCATACGCAGCTCGCATGACACTCAAATGCAGATCATTTCCGGGCCGCTGCATTGAACCAGTGAACGGATAAAGCGCATACGAAAACTAAACCGAATAAATTTTAACAAATACAGCGAAAATGCCTTTATAGTGTAGTTGGCCGCACTATACAATCAATCATAAGGCTAATACGCCCACATTTCGCTGAAGCCAGCACAAGCACAAGCTTTAAAATCACCGTAATTTTTCATTACAGTTCCAACAGAGCAAGCCCAAAAGTTGCTGCAGCGATTTTCGGCATTTCGAGCAAGCTTTTGAAATTGAGCGGAGGCAAAGCAGCCTGCGATTATTACAGGAAGCTTAGCGAAACAAGAAAATTTGTTTATATATAAAAAAAAAAAAAAAAAAAAAAACTCCTTTAAAATATGATGTGGAAAATCATTATAAACAAAATTTTGAAAAGGTATCATAAAAGCGTGTGAATATTCATTAAATTAGGCAGCGGGGCTGTGACTCTGCTGAAGCGAAAATAAATATTGAGTTTTTATTTTCACCGAGAAAATGTTTAAAGAGAGAAAGGAAGAGAGGTGGCAACATTATACAATATAATGTACATAACTGATTAAAATGAGCAATTAATGTGAGAGTAATACCAAAAGGTTTTATCAAATTGTGGACTGCGTTTTCACATCAACAAATAATTGGCCAACGCACGGACTGCCCGTGCGAAGATGCGTTTTTATTTTGCATAGCTCCCCGCAGATTTTTGTGGCTAGCGGCACTGTTTTTTCTGGCAGATGCTTCCAGCTAAAAGAATTTCAGATTGGCCGTCAGGACTCATCCCTTCAAAATTCACGAAACATCCCTTCAAAATTCCAGTCCCCTAGCTTCTCAGGTTCCCGAGTTATCAACTTACCCGAAAAAACTTTCACGGAACCGTACGTGGGTACCACGAAAACCCGAGGGCTGGGTTTGAGCTCATTAATATCCACTTGGATGGGGAACATCCCCTAAAAATTCGAATCCTCTAGCTTCTCAAGTTCTCGAGTTAACAACTTATCCGAAAAAAATTTTGGCGGGCTCGTATGTGGGTACCACGCACACCCGGAGGCTGGTTTTGAGCTCAGCAATACCTACTTGGACGAGGAACGTCCCGTTAAAATTTCAGCCAGCTTTTCATATTCCCGAGTTAGCACATTGCCCATAAAAAACTTTGGCGAGCTCTTCCTTGGGTACCACGCGAGTAATGGCGCCCATTTTGGAGATTCGAGCCCGTACGTGCATTCAGATTGAGTTCTCAAAGTTTCAGCGCTGTAGGTTTTATAGGCCTTGAGATGAAAAATCGGTAGACACACACACACACACACACAAGGACACACAGACAACCTCTCGTCAATATGTGTTTGCATAGCTGCAAAAAACGCACAAAAAGTTGAAAGAAACCAAATAATGCTCCGTTCTCTTCTTACTTAAGAAAAATTTTGACTTAGTTATCAAAATATGAAATTAACGTACATTGTGTTGGCCCAAATCGGCAGTATCATCAGGAGATTTGCTTGCACGAAGCAGCGATAATGTCATGATATTTCCTCGACAAGAATGTCCGTATTTGCAGTTGTTTAGAAGAGCAACACCACGATCAAATTCAGTTAGTGCCATCCACTTATGTCCAACCACTTCAAACCTG